GTTAATTACTCACCACATAGGACAAACATGTAGAGGAACTTTGCCATTGTTCAAAAAAAATGTTTTTTCGAATGTGTTGAACCTATCCCGGTATCATTATATATAGCCTGCGGTATTCGTGATCACAGAGGGACGTGTGACAATCCTTAAAAAATCATGTATCTCTTTTCTAGAACTGTGCAGCTATAAGTCAATGTTTAACCTAAAGATGCACGAAAAACCGGTTTATGATAAACAACTTCACGTCAATGTTAAGTAGGACCTTTATTGCTCATCACAGTATTGAGACTGTTAAATACCACAAAAACGTTGAGCCACACGTTTTGTCGTACGTATTAAGTTGGTACCACATGGCGGGGCCGTTTCCTGAAGGCGCTCTGTTGGGTTGATTGACAACTGTGGTCATTTGACCGGGAGACGTGATGTACGTGATCGCTGACAGCGATAGACAGAGTGGTTAAAGGAACACGTAAATCCTACAGTTTGGCAGTCTGGGAGGTTCTTGTACGAGCTATATCATAGTAGAGAGGTCCTCTGTCTTTATAGAATACCTTCCAAGGTTATCCTACAGTTGGGCAGTCTGAGATGGTTCTTGTACGAGCTATATCATAGTAGAGAGGTCCTCTGTCTTTATAGAATACCTTCCAAGGTTATCCTACAGTTGGGCAGTCTGAGATGGTTCTTGTACGAGCTATATCATAGTAGAGAGGTCCTCTGTCTTTATAACATACCTTCCAAGGTTATACAAAAAGCTCCTGCTGTGCCCAGGAAATGTGGAGGGCAAGTTTGTTTGTGGTAATTTATAGTTGGACCCAAGCTGAACCTTAACGGCCTTGAGCACTGCATTTCTCCACCTAGGTCCTTCTCATAGCTGGACTGTCTTTCCTGATGTGAAAGGTTTGGAACGTTCTTGACCACTGTATTAACCTGTGGAGATCCGAGTTTGAAATGATCTTCAGCAACCTTTAATTGTGGTAAGAGGCGACTAACGGGATCGGGTGGTCAGGCTCGCTGACTTGGTTGACACATCGAAGCTAATGATATTGATCACTGGATTGTCTGGTCCAGACTCGATTATTTACAGACCGCCGCCATAGAGCTGGAATATTGCGTGTGTGGCGTTAAATAACAAACAAATAAATGATCACTGTATTTCTCGACCATTTTACTGATAATTGGACTGCCAGTCTTGATGTGATAGGTTGTTGAGAAAATATTAGCATGCTATCCCTTTGATTGCAGCAACTTCGTTCCCATCCTCTCATCACTACTAACGGAAACAATTGACTGTTAGCATCACGCTTCATTGTGACAAGCCGAAGACCCGGGTTCGATTCCCCACATGGGCACAATGTGTTAAGCCCATTTCTGGTGTCCCCCGCCGTGATATTGCTTGAATATTGCTAAAAGCGGCGTAAAACTAAACTCAATCAGTCAGTCAGTCAGTCACTGTGACAATTCTTTTGGACTGACTAGAATATTGCCACGTTCGGCATTAAACCACACGCACGCACGCACGCACGCACGCACGCACGCACACTAATGTTCACTGATGCAGTTTCACCAATAATTTGTACTAAACCCATTGTGGAACTTTTCCTCTCTGATAACCGAAACTGGTGTGTAGTGTTGACATTAATTGTAAAGATCGATGTGTGGATGGACCATGTATGACCGTATCTAAAGCGTAACATTAAATTATTTCTGCTGTGGATGACTTACACCACCAGGAGGAAGTCTCTTACACCAGTCCGATCCAGGCATTCTTGGGTCGTTGATAGGGGGTGTGCCCACGTCGGAGGGGATTACGTTTCAATATAATAAGAAGAATAAGCTCCATGAAAAATTAGGCTCAAAACATTTTATCCACCTCTCGTACTAAACCAAATCTATTGAAGTAGTAGGCAGCAAAAGGTTCGTCACTTCGTTAGTAAATAGTGGCTCGCTCTTAAGAGAAATTCGCACTCGTCTCTGAGCCAAACATTTTCTTTTGGCTTGACCATGCGTGCCTGAAACCAATGACGTCGCTGTTGACGATGTTGTCGCGTTTGTGCAACACATCTCAGTCTGTCTCTGAAACCTGCACCAAGTAGGCTACCTACTCCTTAAAGTGGCATTTAGAAGCTGGCATGATGAAGTGGACCTAAGCAACTTACGTTTAACGTAGTCTATAAGACCAGGGTCTTTGTAAATCTCTGGGACAGGTCTTAATACCCTGGCTAAAACCAGCTTCGATTCTCTCGCTTCCTGTCGTTCAAAGACGTCGTTCCTTTGTGCACCCGATAGTTCGGCATGTCTGTAAAGTAGCAGTTTCACAGTCAACCCTGAAGTTCCCAGGCAGTGTATATGTTTTGATAAGCTGAGGTTATGCATTTGGTCGTTGATGATTCTTACACTACTGTTGGTACAGATACCCCATTTTAAAGATGGTGCTCACAATGACAGTACATATTTAGTAGACTACGTTTATGACGAACACGGTTGTACCGAACTGGAAAGAAACTGTACTGTACTCTACTGTATCTACTGTATATCTCAAACGATTCCATATGTTAAATTACCATTGAAAATAAAATCAACTGAGAATAAAAGCATAATTATCAAATTTCTACAATCTCAGAAGCGGGCCGAGTTCCATTCTATTAAACCTTTCATTTTTCAACGTTATGCACTTTGTGTACTATCCCTCATGAAAGACTTTAGGAATACTTCATTTCATATTCCATGGGGCATTTGTTTGAAATGTGTATCTATCTCTATTCAGAGGGCCAGGATAACTTGTCAAATATAAAGGCGAATGCCATTTGAAGTTTAATGAGAAAACTCTATGTGGAATGCTGGACTTCTTCACTGTCAACATCTACGTAAAATTTGGGAGTAAAACATTTTCAGGGGTGGTGGGGTAGCCTAGTGGTTAAAGCGTTGGTTCGTCACGCCGAAGACCCGGGTTCGAAACCCCACATGGGTACAATGTGTGAAGCCCATTTGTGGTGTCCCCCGCCGTGATGCTGCTGGAATATTGCTAAAAGCGGCGTAAAACCAAACTCAGTAAAACATTTAGACAAGAAGTATTCACCACATTCAACACCAATTGCGCTCCCCTTCTTACTCATCTGTTTCTTATGCATATGAGTCAGAAACTCGGTTCGGGGTGGCAAAAATCAAGAAATCAAAACAAAAAATCAACACAAGAAGTTTAACCTTTTATCTAATATCATGATTCAATAACCATCAAATAGTCAGTTCCCCTCCGATTTACCCAACCTGAACTTGAAATAAAGGAAAGACTGACTGACTGAGTTTGGTTTTACTCCGCTTTTAGCAATATTCCAGCAACATCACGGAGGGGAACACCAGAAATGGGCTTCACACATTGTACCCATGTAGGGATTCGAACCCAAGTCTTCGGCGTGACGAGCCAACGCTTTAACCACTAGGCTACCCCACCGCCCCACAAAGGAAAGAAACAAATGAGACCGCCTCATGTGTGCCATATTTAGATCTATGCATAAACAGAGTGACAGCAAAACCTCCACAAGGCTGCATAACTAAAGGGATGTTTTTCGACCTTATCTTCATATCGAGCAAAATTCCGACAGCTCCAATTTTTGGTGTTTACATTTCACAATTTCTTAGGTACAATGGAGCATGTTCTTTTTGCCCGATTTCAAAGAGCGTCATACGACTCTTTCTCAGAAGTTGTTCGATCAAGGTTACAAAATTCAAGACCTCAGTAAAGCTTTCAAAACGTTTTATCGAAGACATGTGAAGGACATTTCAAAATTTGATCAGTGACAAAAATGATGTCTGATGCAATTCCCTATTTTGACTTGTTCATACCTTCCCGATATTTTTCAGGTAAACAATATCCCAGTCCGAGGGTGTTACATCACAATGGTGACTATTGTGTGCTGAGTGAGTTTTGTTCTGCGCCGTTTGAGCAATATGAAGGACGAGGACAACTGTCAGCCTTGTTCCAAGGCTGTACTGTAGGCTAAGTACGAGGTATAGTACCAGTGGTCTTAAAATACGTGCAATCTCGGTAATGCTTTTAGACTCAAGTCAAGATAAGCGGACTCCAATATGTTAGAGATTATATTTTTTTAGAAATTTTCATTTAAACTATTAATTATTGACTTAGAGATTTGTGAAAGTCTAGACAACTGTGACAGAGGAGAGTTAACAACCATAACCTTACCTATACGCCATCATCTCGCCACCCATTCTTCTTTTGAAATCCAGAATCTGACATACCCATCTTTCTTGTTCACACTTGTTTAGCGATCCCAGGACCCGTCATACTTTAAGATACCTACACACGTTTCTTGACAGCTCGAAGACAATAGCTGGTTTTTCGCAGGTTCATAACTTCATACGGTATCATTTTATTATACGATTTCCCTTTTCAAAAATTTCAACATGCGTCATTATGAATATTCATCCAATGATCTTTGTAAGAATTTTTTGTCAAAGTATATTCTTTTAAAAAATACAATAATTAATAAACACAGCACGATATTTGGATATGATGGAGTGATGTCGTGCTGTGTCGCCGTTACCGCTGCTTACCTCCGTCGTCCCCGCAGTTTGACAGAACGTTATGATATTTTTTATATCATAAAATGTTTCACGTGATGACATATATAAAAGCATACACCTAAATATACTGATGTCTACAACGGCAACCTTGTTGAGATTTCTTATGGCTATGGAAAGGCGTTCTCGTTGTACTCTTAACAATTGGCATCTCGAGGAGTTAAAATCGAATCGTCGTTTGTTTCGGTGACAAGTAATCCCCAAAACGACCCCACGTGGTGATGACTTTTAATTATGCCATTATGAACACACTTTTTAAACGACTCTATTTTAAGCAAACGACTGGAGAGGGAAATATTGTGTCTGTATGGTCACGTCTAACTCAGCATGCGTGTATTATTTCATACTATAAATCATATTTTGGTTCAGATCGTAGCATTATTCTTTGGAAAGGACTACAGAAGCAGCCATGGCGCGATTCATCTACGCTTTTGTTCTTTGTGGTGAGAGCTATCATTTTAACACATTTACATCTAAACACTGTTTAGCGAATCAATGGCATCTGTGCCTGTGTGTAAGGGTCAAAGAGGAGTACTGTTGTTATTGATCTAAGACACCTAACCATGTGATCAGGTTCAGAATAAGAAGAATTCTACTAAGTAGCGACTATATTGTATTGAATGATATGGATAGTTACTTGGTTGTTTACCATTCATTTGTGCACAGATTTGTGACGCATGTACCATTGGTGATTCATAAACACATGACCATTATGTAGTCGGAATCTTACAATGAACTTACTTTAGCAGAGATTTCTTATCATTATGGTTATATTTGTGTTTTCTTTTAACTGTCTTCTTCTTTTATTTTTTTGGGCGGTGTGGTAGCCTAGTGGTTAAAGCGTTGGTTCGTCACGCCGAAGACCTGGGTTCGATTCCCCACATGGGTACAATGTGTGAAGCTGGTGTCACCCGCCGTGATATTGCTGGAATAATGCTAAAAGCGGCGTAAAACCAAACTCACTCACTCATTTATTTTTGAGTTGTGGGGTAGGTTTTCTAATGTTAATCTTCTCGTACCTGTTCTCGGTTATGTACAGGCCGCCATGTTGTAGTCTTAATATTCCTGACTAGGGCGTTATGAAACAAACAAACAAACAAACGATTTCGAGTAATCACCTTAAAAAACATTATTTCCATATTCATATGATAGTCTTCTGATACTGATTGTCATGAACATGTGTTTATGAAACAATCACATGATATCACATTAGGATGTTCTAGCTTAATCATATATGACCAAATGCTGTTAATTTTCTATATTAATTAACAATAAATTTCCGAAGATTGTCTATCAAATTTGGCTGAATCTGTGTGACATCATATCTCAAAAGAATGGATGGAAGCTCACATTCTCATTACCCCATTAAAGGACCTTTACATATGACATTTTGTTGCAATTGGAACTGAGAAAGTGACGTTGATCAGCCCTCTTCATTCATTCAACTACTCTCTTCGTGAAGCAGAGTATGTCCATGTTAAACACAGCACTTGCCGTAACTAGATTATAGGTATGGTGTTAAGAGGCATAACCAGCCTGAATGTTGTTAACACTACCATACACTGGTTTGTCTGGTTGACTTTTATCATTATAAAAAGCATCATCATTACTCAAAATATTCTGTCGTTATATTGCTGAAACAATGGGAGGTGCAACGTGAAACCTCAACTCACCTCAACTCAATCTCAAATGCTCACAGACACCACTCGAACATGTTTGAACATTTTACGGACGCTTCCCGCTAATACCTCTCTGCACTCGCTACATGTTCGTGTCATTGCAGTGGCTCTGTTTGCCCAGTACGGGGCCAGCTGCTGCTGTCAGGCAAACCAGGCGTCTACCCAAACTTCCTCATCCAGCTATCCCATCCCCATCCCCATGCCCGTCGCCGGTCCCCCTCCCAGTGCCCCCAGCTCCAACTTCCTCCCCACCATCCTCACCACGCTGGGATAAACCGCAGTAAGTAGTTTGATTAAAACAACAATAAAAACATGAAAATAGTCATCGCTGATTTCATTTGATCCATTCATATATTTATCATCGCTAAATACGCGAACACTTCATCGCTGATTTCATTTGATCCATTCATATATTTATCATCGCTAAATACGCGAAATAGAATCTGTTCTGACAGTTATACAGATTATTTTATGTCGTTTACGTTATATAATATTTAAAACGCTTCCAATTGTATCATGTTTCAGTATTGTCAGTCACACATTGGAGGCCAGGGAGGCACTTGTCCCAGTTATCCTCCGATCTTCAATAGCGTAACAATTGAAGCGTACTTGATATGCGTATCTCACATGGATTTCTTACAGATGTTTTGTTTTACAGAGCTAGGTAATGAGACCCAGACACCAAACGTGTTGAGACGTGGACAGCGTACGTCATTGGATGAAGGCAAATGTAGAAAAATAAATAAATACAGATGACGAAATCTTCCATTTGAAGTTTTCTTGTCAGAGCGATGATTCATGGTGAAATCATATGGAGAACTTTGTTAAAGCTACTTTAAACCGCACAAGAGTTTGTTTAACTTCTTCAAACCCAAACCCGTGAAGATCCGGGTTAGAATTGATCTTTTGCTTGTCGTAAGAGTCGTTTAACGGGATCTGGTGACTCGCTTACTTGGATGACACATGTCATTGTATCCCAACAGCGTAGATCGGTGCTCATGTTGTTGAACACTGGATTGTCTGGTCTAGACCCCAGTATTTACATACAGCTGGAATATTGCTGTGCGCGGCGTTAAACACCAAACAAACACACTTCAAACCAAACAATATATACTATGGTGCATGTATCAGTTAAGTTTGCAAATTAGCAGACTTCTAATGTGCAATGTAAAGTCGATCTGTATACCCTGTTATCGTTTATGACGTTACCCGCATCCTTCGTCTGGTGGACATATCGAAAGGTCGATGATTGGATACCATGTCGAACCAACGGATATTATTTCTATTGTTTTTTATATTATTTCCTACCAATAATGGGTTTATAATACCATCAGATTCTGTTAAAAAACAATGCACTTTAACGTCAACAACTTCCGGGTCACACTCACCACGTGGTTTGTTCAAGGGGCCAAGTAGGTCACAAAAGACGCTGTGCCGATCAAGGCGGTACCTTCATAAGGCGGGATGTGTTAAACAAAAGCATTTGTAGTGTTTTCTGATATTTTGTGAGTAGCATTAAGCAATGTATGTTGGTTAAAGTTGGTAAAAACACCGGACACACAAGTTGAGAAACTAAACGGTTGTTTCCAAAATACACATACACTTGTATAAACATTACATGAGGTGAGGTGAGGTGAAATTGGGTTTAACGTCGTGCTTGAGAATATTTCGCTCATATGACGACGTGCATGCGTGTGTATGTGTATGTGCGGCTGCTTGTACTAGCCCAGACTGAAGCTGGTTTTATAGTGCTAGCTCACTGAGATACCATGCCGCAGTGAAGCATGAATACCCTACTCAGACACATTATACTGACTCCGAGCCGACCAGTCCTTCTTGTACCCATTAATGCCGAGCGTCAGACAGGGACCAACAAGTACCATATTTTAACGTCATTTGGTTGGACGCGGTCGGGGATCGAACCCGCGACCTTCCGCCCTCCGGGCGGACGCTCTAACCACTACACCACGGAGGCGGTCAAACATTACATGAAACAGAAGGAAGAGGGGAAAGTATTTAGAAATAGAATCTAGTTAAAAAATACATACATACTATTATAACAAAATAAAATTAAAATGTTGTCCAATGAAATATTGCATCAGATCAAATTTGAACAATTTGTTTTATAACATGGACTTTAATGACCCCATAAAATTGTATGCATGGCTATTGGGTGTGTTATATTAATTAATTATAGGTTTTGGATGCATCAATCATATCACCTCTCGTGATATCGGAATTGTTAACTTTTGTCAGGTGGCAAATTGCAAGAACAAGAAGCCTAGCTGAAATATCAGTTTTTCTCCATGTAGTGTATGTGTGCAGATTTAGTCTCGTCGCTATATGGCTGAAATAAGGCAAAAGTTAAATAAGACTCACTCACTCACTCACGCACTCACACATTTAGTGTACCGAGATGCCCAACGATGTACCGTTCTAGTTCTAGTGCAACACCACTTCCCACGTATCAGTTTTATGTTTAAATAGAAAGTCATGTGTGATTATCACTATCAAGTCCTTCGAAGTGTATATAAGTCTGTTATATCCTCTAGGCCTCAAGACTTTGCCTTAAAGAGCTTGTATAATTACAGTGAAATAAGGCCAGTCCGACCGCCCGAGACTGGCTAGATTTCCACCGGACGGTCTAATTTTACAGCTTGCCAGCCCGATGGACGGGTGACAAAAGTATTCAGATAACGTGTCTGGCACTGTCTATTTAGTATTAAAGAAGGACTGGTTAAATCTCTTCTGGGCTGGTAAGTTTTTGAAGTTACCAGTCCAGGCCCCGATTTCTCGAAACAAACTTAAGTCTGAGGTTTGACTTAAGTTAGAGTTTTTACTCAAATTTGAGAAAACGCATTTCCCAGAATGAACTGAAATCGATATTAAATTCAAACATAGTAGATAATTTGAGTTTCGTGAATAGAATACTGAAGTTGTTTGGGCTTTTTTTATTTTAAAAATGCAGCTGAGTTAAAATCCAGCTGTTTCAAATAGTCAAACTCAGTTTCAAATTTGAGTAAAAACGTAAGTTTGTTTCGAGAAATCGGGGCCAGATGTTTGACTGGGTTTTGGCTTATTTCATACACTGATAATTATCTTGTAAAATCATGCATCGTTGTTCGTGGAATGTTATATCTTCCTGGATACACCTATCGATTGTATCGTCACATAGCCTTGCTGTACTTGCATAAGTTCCCTTATAATGTATGGACCATGTTGTACATAGGGCTGATGGCCCACACCACTGTACCGAATAAAGAGATTTCGTATCAACAGTAGCTTACCCTTCAATGGTAAGAAACACTATATTGTAGTTTGCTTGTCTTATGTATATACTATCTTGGGAGTCCCTGACATATGTTGGTAGAATATTACCTGTTTCTGTATATACTGAAGAAATAGTTTGTGCTCATGTTTCATATTAAAAATAGATCGCTCCATACAATTTTGATGTCCTGAAAAGTGTTTGGGGCCCAAAAGGAATTGTTGTTCCTGAAAAGAATTCATAATTGAGCTTATTTCAGACAAAGTAAAGCATGAACGTAAAAGTTTGATTTGACGAAAAACGTCACAAAAACGTTACCAGTCTGAAAACAGACACCACAACTCTGCAAACTTTAGGTCCAAAACACAACTGCGACATCCATTTCAAATACATCTTGATCGATTACTCATTCCTTGTCGTTTATAATTTACCCAGCAACTGTTTGTTTGTTGTTTAACACCTCACTCAGCAATATTCCAGCTACATGGCGGCGGTCTGTAAATAATTGAGTCTGGGCCAGACAATCCAGTGACTGACATCATGAGCATCGATCTACGCAATTGGGATACGATGACATGTGTCAACCAAGTCAATGAGTCTGACCACCCGATCCCGTTTGTCACCTCTTACGACAAGCATGGTTTGCTGAAGACCAATTCTAACCCCGGACATTAGACTATAATTTCTTTTGATCTGCAGCTTGCATGCTCTCTCTCCCTCTCAACACAATCCACCCCCTTACCCAAGCCCCTCCCTCATATACATGCAAACGAACACACCCACATACAAAAATACGAACACACACACACGCACGCACGCACATGCATAACACACTGTCATCTCTTGACTACATTTATATCTATCGATTTCCATATAACACTTTTATTAGTCTGAAAGATTTCAAAAAAGCTAAAATGTGTGTGGAGGGTTCCACATGGGCACAGTGTGTGAAGCCCATTTCTGGTGTCCCTCGCTGTGATGTTGCTAGAATAATGCTAAAAGCGGCGTAAAACTAAACTCACTCACTGTATGGAAGGACTAGGGACAAAGACAAAGGCCAGCCTGAGTAAGAACGTATGTCCCCCTCAATAGCCACTTATGAGTTTACTATTCTCACTGAAGAACTAACAAATACAGTTGTTTTTTTCACAATTTCTTAGCATATTTGCAAGTCACTTGTTTACGTCTTACACCCAAGGTAGATGTCAAAAGTCGTGGCCAACCGCAGCTTAAATTGTCACTCAGCGGCAATGACGGCGGGGAGCATGAGGTGGTTAAAAACAGTAACGACAGTGAACCTATAAAAACTACAGTCGCCGGATCTAGACATTGTGCATTCCTACCTTCTCTGATTAACACTCCAACAAGATGGGAAAACCTGTTATCTTGACTGTTCTTATTCTCGGTGAGTCTGACAAAAATAATGTATATTGTGTATATTTTATTTTCAACTGAGTCGAAAAATGGTTTCTTTTCGTTCAATTCTTGTCATTCAAATTTCATTAATTTCTGTAACGATTTTCCACCTATATACATTAGTTCATAGAAGCCTGGTTAAATGTGTGAAGCCCATTTCTGGTGTCCCCCGCCGTGATATTGCAGGAATATTGTTAAAAGCGGCGTTAAACTAAACTCTATCACTTACTCATAGAAACCAAATGTATACTGACATATGAGTAATGTTCAATATGAACTAACAAATACAAACCTTCTTTCAAATGTTCACAGATTGTTCCCTTCTTGTGGGAATGTCAGTTTGATAAATTCCATCTGTGTGTACTATTCTATTATGTTTTGACATTGTGATTGAAAGGTATTTTCATTATTTTAACGTTTTTCACATTTGGTCAGGTGTGAACGTTTTCTAGCAGTGGGCCAGGACTCGCTTACCCTTTACGTGAACAGTGTCGTCACTGTTTTTCAGTGATGTTTCAAATGTTTCAGCGCTGTTCCTTTTCGTGCCCAAAGGATGTTGTTTCTGGATAATGGGTTATTCTCACGCGTTTAACTTGTATAGTCACCATATTTATGTCATAGTTAAGCTTGTGGCGTCAGACAACTTGTACCTCCAAAGTATCCATTATAAAACGACCCGTGAAAATCCGGGTTAGAATTGATCTTCAGACACCCATGCTTGTCGTAAGAGGCGACTAATGAGATCGGGTGGTCAGACTCGCTGACTTGGTTGACACATGTCATCGTATCCCAATTGCATAGATCGATGCTTATGCTGTTGATCACCAGATTGTCTGGCCCAGACTCTATTATTGACTGACCGCGTCCATTTCGCTAGAATATTGCTGAATGCTGCGTAAAGCACTCACTCACTCACCCATAATACTATTATGTACCAGAATCCATAGTTGCGCCGCTCTGAACATCATCCGTTTCTTATCATCAAAGACATCTGTTTATTATGACCGTTTCTCGCTCTCACGTATCTGCCAGTTGTCCTGATGGTCCACTACAGTCACTCCTGCG